TCAACTCTAGTCATACTTCCAAGGTTGGTTTTGCAGAAGTCACCAGTTACCTCCTTCATTTTGTCTGGATTGTTAGTTACTGTGCCATTAATTAATTTCTTACCATATGATTAAAAAAAACTATGTAGTTATTTATACCTTGCTGTGTATAATAGGAAAAAACATTTTCCTACTTTTTTAAAAAATTTAACCTCAGATGTGGAGGGTCCCACACTTACGAGGCAACTCTTTAGCAGATGCCAGTTGGGTTTCCTGTAATTCAGTTCTGACATTGTCTGCCTGAAGTTAGATCTCACAGGTTAAGCTGTCAGGCCAGTAAGACTCTCTTACTTCCAATGACCTTTGCAAGTCCCAGGTTGTAAATTGGTATTCTCAGGACTCCCTCTTCCAGTGTGATAATTTGCCAGGAGGGCTCACACATTTCAGGGAAACACCTTACTTATCGTTTACCCATTCATTTTAAGTGATATTATGGAGGACACAAACAATCAGATAGAATAGGGAAAGGAATGTGGGAAGGGGAACCGAGCTTCCCATGCAACACCCTCCAAGCACTTCCATATACCTGCAATCTGGAAAGCTGTCTGAATCCTCTGTCCCTGTTTTTCTATCCGGTGGTACTGGGGAGGACAGCCCAGAGCCTCAAGCATACTCACCATTGAGCTACATATCCCCCCCTCCCCCAATTAATGATCCTCCTGACTTGACCGCCCAAGTAGCTGGGATTGCAAGTAGGTCCCACCAAAGCAGCCTTCTTTGGGATTTTTATGTAGGCTTCATATGTAAGCATGATTGAATAAATCATTGGCCTTTTTAAAAACATTTATTTATTCTAATTTGTTACACATGACAGCAGAATGCATTTCAATTCATAGTACACATATAGGGCACGATTTCTCATGTCTCTGGTTGTACACAAAGTAGAATCATTGGCCTTTGATCAGCTCCTCTCCCTTTTCTGGAGATCAGGATGATGGGCTGGGACCGGAAGTTCAAATTTTTGAAAGACAAGGTTGTTTCCCTTTGCAACCAGCCCCTGTCTTGAGGCTTTCCTGGAGCCACCAGTCATCTTACAAGCATACAAAAAGACACACTTTGAAGATTACAAGGATTTTAGGAGTTGTGTGCCAGAAAAAGGGACTAAGATCAAATATACATTTATTATAAATCATAGTATCATAGTTGCCAGAGTTTTTAATGTTTACGTTCTAATTTGTAATTATAATGCCCACAGTTTAGTGTCCTGTATTTAAATGGAGTCATAGACTTTAATCCTTTTTCTGTAGGATCACCTTTCTTAAATGACTTACTTTGATTAATCATCTGATTGGCTTGATTTCTCATTCATTTTCTTAAGATGTAAGGTTCATGGATGGGGTATTATGTTTGAATTCTTGCATGGTTAACATGTCTGCTCTTTGTCTTTCTTTTTTCTAATTACAGGGATAATTCATTTTCCCTGTAGAATATAATAAAGCATAATTTATCCTAACATTGCTGCATATCTGTGTTTTTCTTTTTAAATCCCTGTTTTCTCTTTGTTTTTGAGGTTCTATCCTCTCCTGATTTTTCTCTTCCCTTGTTGGTTCTCTTCAGTTCTTTAGGCTATGCTACTCAGTAAGGCCTCCATGTGTGGCATTGGCCACACCTAGGAGCTTGTTAAAAATGTAGAATATCAGGTCCAGCTTCAGACCTACTAAATCAGAGGCTACATTTTAACAGGATCCCTCGATGATTAGTAAGCATAATAAAGTATGAGAACTATTAGACTCTAACTCTTTAATGAAGAATCTTTAACTGTTGGGATTTGTCTTATTTTAGTCAGGCTTCTCTTCTCTGTGACTCCAAGTCTCCCTTTTTACCTTTTGTATATCAATCTTTTTTTTTTTGGGGGGGGGTTCTCAGGGATTGAACCCAGGGAACTTTACCATTGAGCTATATCCCCAACCCCTTTTCTTCTGTATTTGAACTTAGTTACCTCACAGACTTCTCATTCCTATTATTATTTTTGTTATTTTGGTGCTGGGGAATGTAAGGTTGCTTTACCACTGAGCTACATATATCTCCAGCTCTTTTTATCTTGAGACTGGGTCTTGATAAGTTGCTGAGGCTGATCTCAAACTTGTGAGCCTCCTGTCACAGGCTCGCCAGTAGCTGGGATTATAGGTGTATGCCAGTTGTATTTTATTAACCATATTTCAGTATCTAAGTTTAGTGCTTGAGTTTTCAGAATTATCAGGAAAAATGAAACTTTTAGGAAAATGTACAATTAAAAAATTTTTCTCCTACTGCTTTGCTATGGTTTGGGAAACTAAAAATATATTTTATAACAATGTTTGATTTTTAACTTTTGGCATTTAAAACAGCTTGAAGCTGTTATTTTTAAGGAGATTTGCCTTGATTTTGTCAGTGCCTGAGAAGCAATTCAGTCTTAAAAATAGAAACAGTGTTTAACATTATAATTTAACAAACATTTTTGACATAATACCTATCATAATGTCAAATAAATGTAGAAAACACTTTTTTCCCAAAAAGGAATTCTGAGAAAAGAAATTTTTTGGTGTGGGGGGGAGAGTGGGTACTGGGGATTGAACCCAGGGGTGCTTAACTACTAAGCCCCTTTTAATATTTCGTTTAGAGACAGGGTCTCCCTGAGTTGCTTAGGGCCTTGCTAAGTTGCTGAGGCTGGCTTTGAATTAGCGATCCTCGTGCCTCAGCTTCCTGAATCATTGGGATTACAGGCGTGCGCCAGTGGCCTAAATGTTTTAATGAAGTTTTATTTAACTCATATTCCTAATGCAAAATACAGATTCCTAACTAATAACTATTATTTTTATTAATGTTTTTTCCCCCTTCTTCTGTACTAGAAATTGAACCCAGGGCCTCTCACATGCTGGGCATGTGCTCTAACACTGAGCTATTACCCTCCACCTGTAACTTCATTTTATAATAAACATTAAATAGTTTCTAAGAATAATTTTGGGGAAGTAAAGGTGGTATAGCAATATTTGCATCCTATCTCTTACTAAATTAAGAATACTTTTTTTTTTTTAATCAATTTGACTGTTTTCAATCATGATCATTTTCTTCTTAGGGGTGGGAAATGCAGGGGATTGAAACCAGAGCCTTGTATATACTACAAGCCTGTGCTGTACCATTGAGCCAACCCTAGACTAATCTTTATAAAGCAAGTTTTCCTTTTGTCTCTTTTAAAAGGAAAAATAACTAAAAATTACCAGTATCATGTCACAGATAACTCATTTATCCCACCCAGACTTCCTGATTTCTTTTCCTATCCCATTTTCTGTTTGTAACTTGCTTTACAATATATGGTGGTCCTTTTTCCATATTCAACTTCATTTCTCCATTTAAAACTCTTACAGATATTTGTAAAAGGAAGAGTTTTCCACGTGGAATTAAGAATAAAGGATTATTTCCATTTAAACTTTATACCAAATTGGGCTTGAGATGTAAGGTAGATTAGTACTGTTGCTAAATTTTGGATTTTCATTAATTTTGTATTCTATAGACTTAGTAAAATACAGTTTTTGTGAAATTTTCAGCTCTTTTAAAAATCATTGTAAATAAATATTCTGCCTAATTAGGAATTAGGATTTGTTGTGCTAAATAAATGAGTTAAAATGGTGGTTGAGCTCAGGCAAACATGTTTGATCTCAGGTAAATAAATTATTCTGTAATATGTACCACCCATTATATACATAAACTACTAATCTCAATTAAGCCAGACACAAGTTATTTGAGGCTGGAAATATCCCAGTTTTACAACTGATGAAGTGATGGAGCCTGGATATGACTTTAATATACTTTTGTCTTTACTATCTTGAGGGATTTGTACATACCTTAATGGTTTTCAGACAGTGCTGCAAGACACCGTAGTCTTTGGGGGTCTGGTAATCAGGCACCAACCTTCACTCATTTTAAGCATTTGGGTTCCCTGGTATGTTTGGAGGAGTTTCTCTGCATAAAATGTTTGAAGTCTCCTGTTCTAGAAACCCAGGATCTAGGTAGAATGAATACATGTTAGACTATAAAAAAGCACAGGCAATAGTAATTTGCCCCAGGGGCAGACAGTATCTATTTTCAATTATATTTTTGTTCTTACAGATGTTTTGTGTAGCCTAATATTAAAATGAGTTTGAGGCGATTGAACACAGTATTTATAGGGTGGGAAAGTGGTTAGAGTTGAAGTTTGTTGCTGAAAGTTGGTAATGTACAATTCCCTGCATTGGGTTCACTCACTGCCAGGTCTTGGTAAGTTTAAAGGCTTCCCTCAGCATGATGTAATGACAGGTTAAACCTCTGAACACTCGAGCTGATGCAATGCATATCTGAGGCTCACAGGACTTTATGGGGCAAGGGTAATGCTTGTTTAAAAACAAAACAAGCTACTCCTAAGCTTAATGGGGCCATTTAAGATGGCTTTCCCAGAGTGGGAAGAAAATATAATCTCGATTTGGAGGTTCAAGTAACGAGTTTAATGTGTCTTTAGTGTTTACTACTCTCACTGCAAAAGTCTTTTCACAGAAAGGCGGGGGAAGTATAAATTATGCTGCCAACGGGAAGAAATGAAGTGAGTTAGAATTGAGGAAATACAGTAGTTTGGTAAAACTGTCGTTATTTGGTAAATACTGTAGGATGAACTAGGAAGAATGCGAAGAATGCTTTTACTGTGTGAAAACGTGAGTTTTCAGGATTCACTTGGATGGTGCACTTCACGTAGAGAACAGTGTTTGTCCGGCCACATTCCTTATTCCCTGGGTAGTTCTTTAAAGAAATTGCGGATACTCTACCGTTTCGACCAACAAAAGTCAGGCTCTCCCTAAACTTCAGTTGGTGGAAATGCTGAGGACGCTAGGTGGCTGGCCTGGTTGGAGCTGGGGAGCTGTGGGCCGCCCTTGGATGTGGGCGGGGCCCTGGACATGGCCCCACCCTCCTGCGCCGCCCCGCCCCCGCACAAGGAAGCCGCCGGCCGCCGCCCTGGGCGCGGCAAGCCCTGGGCCGGTCCTGGGTTCCCGGAGTTGGAGCCGGCTTTCCCAGATGTGGCCCGGTTACCAATGGCTCTCCCTGTGGCTGCAGCAGATTCGGCGGCAGGAGTGCCCTTCCAGAGCTTGCTCCAAGTGTACTCCGGCTCCTTGAGCCAGCGCCGTGCACTCTGCAGCTCCGGCCCGTCACTCGCGTTTAGTGGGAGCGCAGTCAGTGGAGCAGGGGAAGACAAACTTGTGAAATGGATGAAAGCTTAGGCTGCTGCAGAGGACAGCTCGGCCATAGCTCCGAGTTTTGGAGACAGGCGAATTTGAGCTCACAGGGAGGTGTGGTCGCCTCCTGAGGACCGAAGGCCTTCATTTTTCCACCTTTGTAGCCTGTGCTTCCCAATGAGTGTTTTAAGAAGTCCGACCTCACAGTCTTCTGTGCTTAAGACCAGGAGGTGGCAAGGAAGGACTTTTGTTACAGATTGTCCGTTGCTGCTTGGGGAAACGCAATGCGCTGCCTGACTTCTCATGACGGGAAAGCCTACCTTACCCTTTTTGTACTCCTGGAGGGGAGTCTTGCTCACATGTTTACCCGCAGCTAGGACAAGGAAGAGAAAAGGTATTGATGTGAAAAGACTGGGTTCCTGAAACTGAAACTTGAAAGCTGTAAATCAGTGAAATCTGGTGAAAGGAATGGCCGCAGCATGATTTACCTCTTTCTGAGTATGGCAGTGATGTTTCATTTAAGCTGCTATACTTTTCTCTTTAAATCACCTTCAGGTTCTGTCACGACCTGGGCCGTTCTTGGTTCCTGTTGCAGGGCTGCTGTATGATTGGGATTCCTTCTCTGGGTCAAGAAGGAGCTGGCTTCCACCTTTGAAGCTTTGGAAGGTTTTAGCAGTTGCTATCCTTTAATACCTCCATTCATGAGAAATAACTGTCTGCATTTCATTTGTTTTTCACATTTTTAATAGGAATTAAAGTATGCTTTCTACAATGTTTGCAAAGTAATTTTATCATGCAAGCTTGAGCTATTGTGATGATAAATGTTTTGCCAGGTTAAGGAATTGAACAAGTGTTTTGTTTTTTGTTTTTGTTTTTTCTCAGTAGCTGTATTATGTTAAATACAAACTGAGCTCACTGCCTTTTGTTGTAAATAGGTGTTTGGTTTGGTAATTTGAAAGGTAATTGGGGGCTTAGACTGTGCCCAAAGAGCCACTTTTGCATTATTGTGTTGCTCACATAAGTGAGCAGCATATAATGGACTACTCAATAGGCACAGAGCATACAAGAAGGTGTTTTGGGTAGTGCTCAGCCCATTGTTTTACAAGTGACATAAAATGGATAGATCATCATACACCCAAAGAATTTATACAGAGGGACACTGGATTATAGGAGAGCTCCTTTATAGTCCTTTTGTCAGAACAGCTGGATTACTTCAGGTGATGCGAGTTGATTCATGTTTTTGTAGGCCTGTAGGATGAGCCACATTATGATGGAATTCGGTTATACTTTGTGTGTGTGTGTGTGTGTGTGTGTGTGTGTCTGGTGTCAGGGACCAAATCCAGGGCCTCACACATGCTAGATATTGTCAGTGTTGTCACCACACTTGTTTCCCTTTAGCATATTTCTTTTAGTCACAAATGAATTAATTTTTTCACACCCCTCTCCCCATTTATAGTGTCTGTTGGTAACCACTTGAATAATCAGTAACCCAAGTTGTATTTACCTGGTCACATTTGTAACTACCATTGTTTCTTCAAAGTTCTTTGCCACAGATTAATGATTGTAATTGAGAGAAAACATTAAATATGAAACATGAATTTTTTGAAGAAACATACCTTAGTATAGTAGTTGCTGGGAGTAGTACACTCTTAGGATACCAGCAGACTGATCTTGTATCACTCCTAAGACAAATGATGACCTGCCATATCCCAGCAGAGGTAGATTCTTGGAAAAGATACCCTGTTTTGTGTATATTTGATTCATCCTGACTAGTTAGTTACATTATTGATCATCTCTTCCAGATGACATTTATCTGAAAAGTGATGTTTGTTATTCTCCTGATGACTGTTTCAGCTACACTGTAAACCTCAGGGTACAAGGAACTCATTACCTGTTGACTCCATCCCTCATTCCCCATGCTGTGTGTCTTTCTGTGGTGTTTTATCATCATCCTCCTTTTTTCCTCCACCCGCTTTTTCTGATTCTTCTTTCCTCTTGTACATTGTATCTAACTTATATTGTGGAATGGAAATAGAATAGAATGAAGTACTTTTTCTAAATACTAGACTAACAATTTTTATTTAAGGATGACTCTCCATTTCCCAAGTCTTCCTAACATTTGAGGTGGGCAAAGATCAGTAGGAAGTAGTACTTAGCTGATGTTAGCATTTTGTGAAAGATGTAATAGATGAAGGTGGATAATGAGATGGCAGCAGGCTCTTCCCCTAGTGATGCCTTGTACCCCACTCCCAAAATATACCTGTAGAGAAGATGCTGTTCACCACTAGGGAGAGTCAACCTGATGATCTTTGGCATATGAACCTTATAAGACTTACCTCCCAATAGCTGATTCAGAATTGGAAAGAGACGGCTTTAGGGACTCTGAGAGGACAAAGTCAAATCCAAACATTTGAATATGCTTAAGGTCCTATATTATATACAGGTCTCTTAGTTGTTTATGGTTCAGTTTCTCTTTTAGCTTTTCTTATTATATATACGCTATCCAAAGATAATTTTTAGTACTTTTACTTTAAAAGGAATTTAAAATATGCTCTGAAATATTTTGAAAAGGCTTCGTCAGTGTTTAACTCCTAATAACAGATGCACATTTAATAATTTATTTTGTTTTTATATATGCTTTAAAAAATATCTTTGGTTGTAGATGGACACAATTCAATACCTTCAATTAATTTTTATGTGGTGCTGAGGATCGAGCCCAGTTTCTCACACATGCTAGGCAAGTGCTCTAGTACTGAGCCACAACCCTAGCCCCTATATATGCTTTTTAAACCCTAGTTTATTCCTTTATCTCTTTGCTCACAGTAAATTTTGCATGAAACTTCAAAGTTTTTCTGGCATGTAAACATTATTTATAAAACATAAGTTGTAATTATTCTTCCATTTATTTTTTTATTTTTTATTTCAGAGATGAGCCGTCAGACTGCTACAGCATTACCTACTGGTACCTCAAAGTGTCCACCATCCCAGAGGGTGCCTGCCCTGACTGGCACGACTGCATCCAACAATGACTTGGCGAGTCTTTTTGAGTGTCCTGTCTGCTTTGACTATGTGTTACCACCCATTCTTCAATGTCAGAGTGGTCATCTTGTTTGTAGCAACTGTCGCCCGAAGCTCACATGTTGTCCAACTTGCCGGGGCCCGTTGGGATCCATTCGCAACTTGGCTATGGAGAAAGTGGCCAATTCAGTACTTTTCCCTTGTAAATATGCCTCTTCTGGATGTGAAATAACTCTGCCACATACAGAAAAAGCAGACCACGAAGAGCTCTGTGAGTTTAGGCCTTATTCCTGCCCATGCCCTGGTGCTTCCTGTAAGTGGCAAGGCTCTTTGGATGCTGTAATGCCCCATCTGATGCATCAGCACAAGTCCATTACAACCCTACAGGGAGAGGATATAGTTTTCCTTGCTACAGACATTAATCTTCCTGGTGCTGTTGACTGGGTGATGATGCAGTCCTGTTTTGGCTTTCACTTCATGTTAGTCTTGGAGAAACAGGAAAAATACGATGGTCACCAGCAATTCTTCGCAATTGTACAGCTGATAGGAACACGCAAGCAAGCTGAAAATTTTGCTTATCGACTTGAGCTAAATGGTCATAGGCGGCGATTGACTTGGGAAGCGACTCCTCGATCTATTCATGAGGGAATTGCAACAGCCATTATGAATAGTGACTGCCTAGTCTTTGACACCAGCATTGCACAGCTTTTTGCAGAAAACGGCAATTTAGGCATCAATGTAACTATTTCCATGTGTTGAAACGGCAATCAAACATTTTCTGGCCAGTGTTTAAAACTGTTGCATTCAATTTCACAGGAGAATAAGGCACCCATCTGCCTACCAACCTGAAACTCTTTTGGTAGGTGGAAGCTAGACACATGAAGGTAAATAAAAAGAAAGGCTGTTAAATACAGGAAACAGTTGCATGTAGTAACACTAATATATTTAAAAATAAGTCAACAGTAAACCACTGAAAAAATATATATATATATACACCCAAGATGGGCATCTTTTGTATTAAGAGAGCAAGCATTGTAAAATAATTCTGACTTTTGTGTTTGTTGTAGATTGATTGTATTGTTGAAAATATTGGGTTTTTTGTTTTATTTTTGTTCTTTTTTGCGTGTGTGTGTGTGTGTGTGTGTGTGTGTGTGTTTAACTGACAAGCCATCTGAGTGGTCTTGGGCCACTGCTTCTCCCTTTGTGAGTCAATACATAGTGCTGCTGGTTGTTTTCTTTTTTTTTTTTGGCTGTGTGTGTGCATTTGCTAATTTTTATTAATTCTAGTTTTTCATTAAATAAATTTGACTTTCTTTTCTGTAATTTCAGGTTTTTCCTCACTTTTTTTTGTACCTTTTTAAAGTTAGTGTCTTTTTGATATGCGTAATTGTTTATGGTAAAGTTTGTGTTCAATACATATTTTTCCCCTCATTAATCAGTTTAGAAATATTTTAAATTCAGCTATTTTGTGAAGATATGAGTCCCAGAAAGGAAAGGTTACATCAAAGAAAAATTATCAAAAACTATTTAAAGCAACTATAAGGTGGTCTCTTTCTCTTCTTTCATCCTCTTTTCCAGTCGAGTCATACCTTCCAGCTTACTCTGAAAAGTTAGGGAATATATTCTGATTTATATAAACACTGAAAAAAATCAGGCTTTTTTCCTTCTCAAATATCTTGGACAAATCACATGTTTAGAAATTTGTTCTTGTATTTATTGGTTTTGCAGAAGAAGGCATCATCATACACAGTATTTGTAATTAAGAGCAAATAATTTGTTTAAAAAAAAGGCAGTTTGCAAAAAAATATGTTTTTGGTCTTTTATAATTCTCATTAAAAGATTATCTGGCAAATTAAAAAAATCTTAATGTGTCTGCTTCAGCTGTAAGTGTGGTGAAGTCCAGAGTCATTTTCCTGTTCCATTTTGTGCTTTAATTATACAGCAGAAAATACTGTGCTGTCACTCTGAAGTGTGGCAGAGTTTTATTCTAAGTGCAGCAGGAGCCAGGCATGTGGCCTCTGGACTGCCCCTGGCTTCCCTCATCCCCCCCCCCCCCCCCCCCCATGTTTTGATTTTCCACAAGGAAATCCACAGAATTCAGGAGAAAGATTGACTAAAATTTTTAGCTGATCACTTTTGTCCCCTTAAAAACAAAAATTAGTTTTTGGTATTTCATAGCTCTGCTGGTTAAGTATCTTGGCTCTGCTCCACTTATAGCTGTATGACCTTGGGCCCTAGTTTCCTAATGTCTAAAAAGGGGTTACATCCTAGTAGCTACCTCACAGGGTTAAATAAGACACAGTAAAGTTACCCGATCAATGCTTTGTACATATTGTTGCTGGGATTATTATTTTTTTAAAAACTCTTGGTACTTTATAATCATTGTTTCATTAAAACCTCAGGTTTTGCCTGGTGTGGTGGTGCAGGCCTATAATCCCAGTGACTCGGGAGACTGAGGCAGAAGGATTGCAGTACTTGGCAAAACCCTGTCTCAAAGTATAAAATAAGAGGAGGACTGGGGATGTGGTTCAATGTTTAGGCACTCCTGGGTTCAATCCCTAGTATAAAAAATTAGAAGCCCTCAGTTTTTACTAATTCAAGTAAATTTAGGTAAATTTTGTATATGTTTGACAACTAGCTAGTAAAGCTGACATTTTTATATTTTATGTTTCAGTCATCATTCTACTTTTGGTCTGCAGTGATGAGCTCTAAAGCCACATTGCTTTGGTCCATTTGAAAATTTGGTTTATTAGGTCTAGCTCTTGTTCTTGAATTGTTATAATAATAATAATGAATGGTTTCTATTAATTTCCCTACCCCTTCTTTGGGTGTCGTCTTTCACATTTTATGGGGTAGATGTAGGTAATATTCTATTATTTTGCTTTTATATACTTTTTTTTTTCCTCATGATTTTGGGGCTCAAACCCAGGGTAGGTAAGTGCTGTACCACTGAGCTACAATCCCCAGCCTGATCTATATTTTTCAACTAGAAATTGTCTATTGGGTTGACATGGACCGGTTTAGTGTGTTAGTGATCATTGGAAAGCCTTTTTTTCCTTTGCTTTGATTTTTATTATGTATTACTTATGTTTTTTTTTAACACCCACATTTCTGCAAACTAAATTTTCATAAGTGGCTATAGATTGCTTAGCTCTCAAATAGTAGTATATGTCCCCTCCACACAAGAGCTCTTTTTATATCCAGGAATCTCTACAATGATAGAATTATATTTCATTCAGATTCCTGAATGGAAGAATTGGTAAGTAATCCAAATTATAAAAACTGAATGAAACTACACTATACCTGGGGTCAGTCTGTGACTGCTGACAAAAGTTAAGATCAGAATATAACTCAATGAGTAGAAGGTATGAATAACCACCTGGTACTGTGGTTATCTGTATGGGTTATACAAGGAAGGTAGACAGTGTTACAGATTGAACATTGTGGAGGTTCAGAGTACCAAGGATTACCTGGTGATTTACAGTAAAATAGATCATTTACCAAGAGAATTTCACATTATCTAAGTGTGGCATCATCCAGACTAAATTGTTTGATACTTACCAAGCACCTAGTAAAATCTGGTGGCATACATTATTGGGCTCTAGACTTTAATTGCCTGAACTGACTTTTATTTAATCTCTGTCAGGTTCTTCCGTAAAATGATCTAATGGTATCTACTGGTGTAAGTGAATGAGGTGGGGCTTATCATTTGGCCTGGCTCTGTAGCCCAGTGTCTTGCTTAGCTACACATTTTCCCTATCTTTATACAGATTGAAGCAATTTCTTTACATTTTAGTTGTAATGTTCTGAGGCCTTTCTAAATTCTGAGATGCATTAACAAATTTGTAGAAATTAATGTAAACAGTGGTATGAAAGAATGCTGGATTTTGTAAAAGTCACATTTTGACAGGCTTGCACTATTATGTAAAGACTAGAATTTAGCCTGAAAAATTTCAGTTCCCTGGAAATGTGCTGATAATATTAGATTTGAATTTATTTAACATTTTTTAGTAACGCTAAATAGATTGAATAACTATTCTTTAGTTCGTTAAGTACAGACTATGTTTCAAATAAGTGAATTTTTATTGCGAATAAAGCTTTTCTTAGAATTAAAATTACTTTGATACAACTGTTTTAAAACCTCTCAATGACCAGTCAATTGCCTGTTATTTATTTATTTAGATATTTCCAATATTTCCTTCCTGTTTTGGTGCTTTTTTAAAAATAAAGAATATATTCTTTGTAGGATTCACTACATGTTAGTAAAACAAAACAAAATAATGAGTGTTAATATTGGATCATGAATCAAATTGGTGACTGTAGTCTGATTTCTTCTTTTTTTTCTTTAATTCTGAAGTTTTCACAGGGCAAAGCTCAAATACAGCTTTTCATTTTGGCCAAAGTAATGTGAGTTTGAACATGTTTTTTTTCATTAAAGCAAAACAAGACTACATGATGTTTACATCTAATAATCCCACTTAAACTTTGGGTTTTAGAAGGAAATTGACAAAATTAACTTTTGTGACTTAATATCAAAGACTCTTAATAGTAAGGCTTACCTCATTTCAGTAATAAAGGAAAGTAATAAGTCCTTTTAACTGGGCAAGTTGATTACCTGACAGGGTGACTTGGGTAGGGGCATGTGTTACCTAGTACTGGAAGCTTGTGTTAGATACCACTACTAATGACTGTGTCCAGATGGGAATCAAAATCCTCTTACCTGAAGCAACCAAAACCTATCAATTAGAGGTGTTACTAGAAATGAAACTCCTTTGTTTCTAAAGAGGATCTGTGTTATGGCCAGAATGCAATTTTTAAATTTTATTTTTGTGTTGGGGGTGAATCCAGGGCCTGTGCTCTACCATTGAGCTACACCCCCATCCCAGAATGCAAGTCTTGATTGCTATCAGAAGAAAAGGAAATCATTACATGTTCTAGAACATAACACTGTATGCCCACTACTCGTTTAAAATTTCAGGTGTTTAATATTCACAATCATGGAACCTTACCTATGGTCACATATTTGCCAGATGATAAATATGCAGTCTTTTTCACTGAATTTACAGGTAATCAAGTGATTAAGAATCTCAGCCTCTGATGCATGGTTATTCATGGTAAGGTTTAAACAGGGACCAAAAAATGGGTAGTAAAAACTTATACACTTCTATTAGAAATATAAAATTGATAACCAAGGCCTTAAACCTTTATTTAGTTTTAATACCTTAAGAATTTTAAAAGCCTATGCATTAAAAAAATGTGGTTAAATACATAGATCCCAAGGTTAACATTTTCAATATGAAGTCTAGCTTTTTGTGATACAAGGAGGTCTTAGAGTAACAACTAGTAAGCTCTGAGTATCTTGTAAATAAGTGCTAGAAAAAGATACTCAGCTCACAAGTTGTTAGGGAAATTTGAATCAAAATACTATTGTCACACTCGTTAGGAAGGCTATTATCAAAGTGTTGGCAATGAGAAAAACTGGAACTTATGTGCATTGCTGGTGGGCATGTCAAATAGAGCAGCCAAGATGGAAAAGAAATTTGGTTAAAAAGTTCGGATTATATGTTTTGTTTGTGGTGCTGTAATAAAATACTGCAGACTAGGTAATTTATAAAAGACAAATTTATTTCTCTCAGATCTGGGGACTGGGCAAGTCCAAGATTAAGGCTCCAATAGCGTCTGAGGGCCTGGGTCTCTGCTGCCGAGAGGGAGTCTTGTGGCTGCTTCTGCACGTGGGGGAAGGAACCGAAGGGCAAAAAGAGTCTAGCTGGTTCCCTTGAGCCTTTTGTAAAGTCTACTAAATCCATTCATGAGACAGCCCCCGTGACCTCATCAATCACCAATACTTGGTTAGGTTTATGCCTCTTATTAATAGTATAGTGACCAAATTCGGCACTTAAGTTTTGGGGGACGTTCAGGTCACAGCACATAGGAGCCAGCAATTTCACTTTGGGTAGACACCCGAAAAGAAGCACATAGCAGGGTTTCCCATGGGTACAGTTTGTGATTAAAAAAAAAAAAAAAAATAGAGTGGACAGTAGTTATACTGTGAATGTCATTGATGTGCCTGAATATTTAGACATTTAGAAATGGCAAACTTTTATTTTGCCCAATTAAAGAGGCAAAGAAACAATAACTCAAATTTCAAACAAACATTGCCTTCTTCCCAACTAACCAACATTGCTAGAGAAAAGTCTCACAAGGGGAAGACTGTCGATTTTCTCAGAGATTTTTTTCAAAAGGGAAGACATTTTTAAAGAGGGCACAGAGGGGTCCCGGGTGTTGTACACAAAGTTCAAATTGCATATTCAAGACTAAGGAAGAATACAGAGAACCTGAGTTTTACTACTTGTTGTTGCCATTCTGGGTGGAATGAGGCAGAGCAATTTGGGTGTGGATTAGCTCCCTCTGGTTGCTGAAGGCAAATTAACAGTCCTGGCATGTTTCTTTTATCCCCTTGTGTGAGATGACTGCATAGAAATAAAATTACAGTAGTTGATAAGATAGTCAATGAAGTGTTTTTGAATGTCCTGATGATCTTTGTTTCCCAAACTAAGTATTGGGAAACTTTCAGACTTCATTCTGATCCAGAAGTTAAGGGGATTGAACCCAGGGAAGCTTAACTACTAAGCTGCATCCTCAGCCCTTTTTACATTTTATTTTGAGACAGGGTCTTGCCAAGTTGCTCAGGCTGGCTTTGAACTCTCCATCCTCCTGCCTCAGCCTTCTGAGCCACTGGGATTACAGGCATGCACCCCTGCTCCCGGCTCTCTTTTGTAATATAATATTTTGATTCTAAAGTTCAATACTGGTTGGAATAATAGTTAAAATTGCTTAATGTTATTTTACATTTAATCTTCA